TATGTATATACATATATATATCTATAACTACTGTCAAAAACTTTTCACATTTTCATCTAATTCTCAAATATATGTCACGTCCAAGGAAAGTTAAAACGACTTACGTTGGTTGGAATGAAGGCGTAGGTGTTGAGAATCCAAATGGTGTGACATTAGAATTGAAAAATGAAGAAGTTGGTGCAACAGATACAGCATGTTGTGCTGGTGAACCAAATGCAAAGGGAGTTGTTTCTTGTGTTGAAGCTCCAGGCACCTAATAATATACAGAGAATTTTGTTACTTATAATTTCTATACTAAAACACCTTATAGAGTTACAAATTCTTTAAGAAAGAGTAAAAATAGAAGCTTAATTCTTATGCAATAAGCTGTAACTTAAATACTAAAAACACAAAGCTATTAAAATATGGTAAACATTTCAATCCACAAAAAATGTCCCTCAGCCACATAATTGTTTACACCAATTTTAACACTTACATTTCAATCCACAAAAAATGTCCCTCAGCCAAATAATTGTTTACACCAATTTTAACACTTTCTTTGTGTTTTCAGCATCTGCATGTTATTCATTTTGCTTATAATTTAAACACTTCTACTGTTTCAATATTAAGTCACAGCTGATCTTTCAAATGCTGTAATGTCACTATTCTTATGTTTCTGAATAGATCTAAACATTCTTATATCACATTAAACTCAGCTTCTTATCTGTTTTACATTAAGATAAATAATTATTCAGAGTGGTAAAAAAAATATTGCTCTTCTTGAGTATAAAAATCAAAACGACTAGACAGTGTGTTTCGATGTTATCATGATTAAAATAAACCTGAGTTATTTCACTAAATAAACAACAACCAGTGTGTGTATCCAGGTGTTATCATCTTTATGTGCATATCAGAGTGTCCCTCAAGTTAAATACACACACTATACACATTGACCACCCAAGTTACAAAATTTGAATATCAACTTCTTGCTTCACTTAAATATCATTATTTTTGTCATACTCACATGATATATCTATCACTTTCTCTAATATTGCTATTGGAGATGTTTATAACCACTTAATCTTGACAATTGTCTATTTTGTTCTGGCACTCAAAAGCCATTAATTTGCATGAGAATCTTGAAATGTGTTGACTAGTCATTTCTCCAATAGTAATTTAATTCTTTTAAATGTATTTATAGCTTAGATAAATTATAGCAGTTTTTGGACATTCTATTCTATTGCCTAACACATATTTTTGCATATTTCAAAGCAACGCAAATTATTTTATGATCAACCAACAGTGAAGAAAAAACAAAAAGTAGTCTTATCAAAGTACATTTTTGAGTAAAATAGGCTTATTTGAATATGTAAGTCTTAATTTTCCTGTTCTTTATATATATATATATATAGTGTATATATATATATATATACACTTTTTATATATATATATAAAGAACAGGAAAATTAAG